GAAAAGAGCATAACAGAACGTAAAACTATATATGGTACAAATATTCATCCGAGAATGAGTCAATTGGATAGGGATTGAAAATATTAGCATGATAATCTTATAATTCAAGAAACTATAATAAATTTATATATTTTTACCATTTCCAAAAGTAACTAGGACATGTTCTGAAATAATGGCTACGATTCAAGGCACTTACACACTAACAGTATTTTATTGAAATTGTTTGACCTTGTTTTCGCAACTCGATCATATTGGTAGGAAGACTTAGAGGATACATACAATGGACTCCAAGAAAGGTGCGTTTCTTTAAGTCTTCCTACCAATGACCGAGTATTTTATTGAATTTAAATTTATGGAAAAAAAACAATAGATAGAATTGTGGACTAATATTCTTGAGTTAGTGAGATTATTAAACATAGTAGTGAAAAATGAACATAATGATTAATAATCCGCCAATGATGCTAACCTTTCACAAATTCTGCTGGGCTTAAGGAAATATTCCTTTCTAAAATAACAAAAAATCTGTTAGAATAACCTGAAAAGTATATGTAATGCCAATAATGCAATTTATCCAGAAAAATATGAAATATCAACAATATTCACCAAGTAATTCGATTGTAAAAGATAACGTTGTACATTTAAACAGACATTAAGTGAGTTATTCTTAAATTCCCAAAACTAATAAAATAGAAGCAATATGAAAAACGCAAATCAGTAAGCAATACGGAATATCACCTGACAAGGCGAATTAACAGAGGTGTCAACACCTTAGTTTTCTTTCCTGCGAGATCAGGAGTCAGGCTTTGCCATAAGGAAGTCCTAAATGCATGCAGATCGGGACATCGCCTGGGCAGCAGTGTTGATGATGACAAGTTAGTCAGCGCATTCGAGTTGGGTTGAACAGCTTCCAGATCTGACTGACTAGAGATCAAACGAATCATCAAATCGACAGGCTGCTCATGCTGAATGAAATCAATTGGTACGCCCTGCGATTCATGATCCTTGCGGATGTGACAGAAAAATACTTCATCCGTTTCCAGTGCTTCGGAGTCGTCTTTAATTGGATCTTAAGGAAGAGAAAGGAAGCGCAATCGGCTCATGGAAAACTAAAAAACAGATCTTATAATTTACCTCCTAGAGGATAATTCGTGTTGTAAGTATACTAATAAAATAATATTGAATAAGGTTACAATAGTCTAGATAAAAGTTAGATTTAATACATTTTTTATACCAAGACCGAAGATAATTTTGATTGTGAGTACGTAATTATCTGCGAAAAACAAAGTTTACCTTGGCAATCATGTAGCTATTAAGCATAAAAGTAGACATTAAGACTATAAAAACCTCTGGGATAATTTAATTGGATTATTAAAAGCGATTATAATACATGAATGGACATCTTGCAGTGATGACTCGAAATAGGAAAATGATAGCAATTCAGTGACAAGACATTAATTACTAAACGATTTTATTTATCGTTGTAGCATTTAAAATAGTAACAAGATTATTAAGATAGCCTGTTA